TTTCATTTTGCAAACTTGCCAACCTGGGACGCGGCAGGAGCTGGGGGGGAGGAGGGAAGCGAGTGAGAGAAGTGGCATGAAGTCACGCCCATAGTGTCTCTAATCCTTGGGAAATTATTCCCGTAAACTACCCAGAGAAAGGGCCTTTTGTATTTAAATTTGTAGAATGGTCAACCACGTCAAAAACTAGCATTTCATGAATGGGAAAGACCCTTTACTAATGTACGCTAAACTCCGTCCTTCCCTTCTCTTCACTTTCTTTCCCAGTTGGAGAACTTCAGTAGAACGCGACCTTTTCCCTTCCCTAAAGATCTGGTCATTTGGAGTCAAAGAGTCAAATCCCAGCTTGGTCACTAACTACCTGCACGACCTTGTGCAAGTCACGTGGCTTCTCTGGGCCTCAGTTTTCTCAGGAGAGAGTCCCATACTTATGGGCTTTGGGACTGCGGTTACATTCATGATGACAGGATTGAACTATATGACCTCTAAGGTCCCTTCTAGCTCCAAATCTTTGATCCTATAGGTCTTCCATCGCTAGGAGAGCTCAGTCTACCTAACCGGAAACAACATTTCCCAACTAGAACCAATACCAAAGTGAGCAGCTTCCATCTCAAACCTAGGAGCTCAGACCTGGCACCAGCATCCCCTGACTCCGCACCCAAGCACACACACGTACACATACACCTGGCCCAGATAAGAAAGACAGCAACCTAATATCAAAAAGGAAAGAACACTTTTAAAAGCCAGATTTAAAAAACAGCACCCGTACATAGACACCCAAAAGCCTCTTTCTCTTCAAACTCTTCGGAATCTGTCCTTCCTTCAACTTCTCTCTTCCCTGATAAGTTTGTTTTTTCTGGTGCCTCGAAGCGCATCCAAGACAAAGGGTAGAGACCATATTTTCAGGAGACAAGCCTAGCAGATTTAAAGAATCTCTCCGCCCCTCCTAGATGCTTCTCAAACCAGCTTTGTTTTTACAGGTGTGGGGGGAAAAGAAGGGGGAGCAATTCTTATGAGGAATTAAATGCCTCCAGGGGGTCTTGGTGCCCGGAGGCTGTTTATTTGCACCTAGGAAGTAGGCTTGCTCTAGTCCCCTTCCGGTTCCACGAGGTGGGGGAACTGGGCTATTTTAGAAGAAAATACAAATACAAATCCTTATTGTTTAGAAATAAACCGAGGAAGCTGGCCGGCTCCCCTATGCCCTGCAGTGGGAGGGAGAGCTGAGCAGATCCGGTGTCACGTTGCAGATTCCCACTAAAGATAACGAAATGTGATCTATTTTTTCAGAACAGCAAGTGGATGGGAAAGAACCTTTACAACACAAAACTCATTTACTAATGGACTGGTTTTGGGTTTCCCCACTCACTGTAAAAAATCGCTTTGACTGAGGGCTCGTCTTATTCATACTTCTTGAGAGCTCCTTTCCAGAGAGAAGAATCTAAGTTTGGGACCTAACTTGCCTGTGGCAGTTTTGCCATGAGGGTTGTTGCAGTCTTGGGTCGTGATTTTATTGTGGGATGCAAGAATTGAGGTGACCCCGTATAACCACACAAAGCAGACTAGAGAAGAAGCATCTGACTTGATTGCCTCTAATCTCACAATAATTCCATACAGTAAGGTGCCTTCTCGAGGATCTGTAGCATGAAGTAGTTAGTCTGGATGGCAGAGACACAACGAACCTAGTCCTTCAAAACCATATCAGCATCTCTCCGTGGAGGAGATTAAAATTATTTACTGTGTAGTGAAAGGCTTTTATGTGAACATTTCAAACATTTGTCGACATTTCCTTTCATTCCCGCACCCCAGTATTCTCTTTTCACCTCTGCAAATAGTAAAGGACACGAGCAATTACCTGCATAGATGAGCTGAAACTGGAGTTAATGCACGATAACCTTATTAATCCATTCTGCCTGCGACTCCCAGAAAGTCTTTGCAGCAATAGCGGAGGAAGGGAGTCGGAAAGAAGCAGTTTTTCCTTCTTTAGATGTAAAAAACAAAAACCCAACTCAAGAAGTATCTATGTGTGATTTGCATTGACAGGAAAGGTTTTGTGTTACCAGAATAGAGAAAACCTTTCTCTGTGTGAGTTAAAATGGATAATTTGGTTTACGTGGTTGGTAAATTCATGACATTTTACCTCTTTTAGTGATTTAAAGTGAAAGGTTCCATTTTGGGAAACCTTATATATCCGGGCCAATAATGAACATTGTTATAACAATCGGTTCCCTTTACCGGGATCGAAATAGCAGGTATCCTCTCTGTTACAAAGCAAAACCAATTTTTTTTCTTTTTCGGTTACAGTCTTGTGTATTATATAGCAGAATAACAGTTACTTGGGACTGGGGTTTTGAAGTATTTAGGGGTGAATACTGTATCTTTCTGGTAAGATTCGGTGCCACTGGCAACATCTTCAATGCTGTCTTCTTCCTTCTAGACCACCTTCAGTATGTTCCACTTTGAAGAGATGGGGGGTCGGAGGTGGGGCGAGAAGCAGGGAGGAAAGAGTGTAAGTAACATGAAAAAAGGTGCTGGCATTAATCTAAATCTAGATTTCTGCTCACCTCCCTCTTCGTCTATATCTGCTTTTATGTATCAGAGCTCTCCCTCATCTCCTAATGTAAAATAATTAGCTAAAAAGCCTTCACTTAGTAAACGAGTATTCTAACGCAAAAATTCTATTTTAAGAGACTCTCTCTAGCGGTTGCGATCCACGTTCTGTCCTTCCAACCTCCCACATTATAATTATGCGCACTTGCTCCAGACTTTAGGGTATTAGTTGATTTTTAGACCTGGGTTTAAGACTCCGTTCCGGTCCCCACACAGCTGCCTTGTCAATAAGGATCTGTTCCAAGTAGAGACATTCCTTCTGGCAGGACATTGCAGCTCTTTAAGACTTCATCTGAAACATCATAAGTACTAAAATAAAATGGCTAGGGAAAATTACCAGACACATGGTCATGGGATGCAAAAGTGCCAGGCATCCAGTTTAGAAAATAAGTCATTGTACAGACTATGCAGCAATGGCTTATTTTAAATAGCACATATTCATTAAATACATTTTAAAAACCTAAAAGTAAGAAAATCTCAACATCTGTTCCCAGGATTTAATTGCATGTGTAAATGATACAGTGGAGTCTCAGGGATGCAAGAATGTATAGAGAGTTAGACTAGAAATTCCCAGAGAACTGAGAGATTCAACCATTTCTTAAAAGCAGGATGATAATTCTTAGAGTATTTGAAGTAGTAATTAGTGTCTGTATTGTTAGCTTATAAAGAAAATAAGAGAAATCCACACACGTATAATTCCCTCTCATGGTGGCTGTTACTTAAATTTAAACATTTAAGCAGTTTAGTTCCGGTAGGACATTTGCCTGAATGTATTAAGACATTTAATGAAGACAAGCAGGTTCTAATGAACCTTGGGATCTCCTAAACTTCCACTAAGAGGGTTCACTTAAATCAAAAGCATTTTTGAAGTGTACTTAAAATTCTGTTTTGAACTTATCTAATCAAAGATAAGCATAGTCATAAAGTCACTGCCATTCCACCATTCCGTTTCCCTTATCTCAACTTATTGTTCTTATCACTGGCCCTGTCCCAGCTACTGACAATAGATTATCTCTGTTTAGGGAGGCTAATTGTTTTCAAAATCTTTTTAATAATTGCTTTAGCTCAAGGTGTGCAAATGAGGATTAAGATAATTACAGTTTCGTTTGTGCAATTTGTCCAAACATTTCCCACACCTCCAAGAAAAAGCAGAGGATGGGACTTTAAATTGCAGAACGCTTTTCATTCCACTAGCAGTAGAACAAGCTTGCATTACAGTCTACAGACACACACATACATACACTACTCCATATTTAATCTTCTTGGAGCCGCTACCGTTCTAGTTTTGAGAGTAGTGTCCTTTGCATAGCTAGGCAAGGATTATATTACAACCGGACGGTTATTGGAGATGGGTACAGTTTTATTTAATTTACACCCCTCTAATGCCTTTCATCTGAGGTCGCCAAAGCATTTTTGTTAACATCAATTAAATAAATTTCTCATCATTCCTTGATAGGAAGTAAGACTTGGAAGTAGTAAGACTGAATGAGCAAAAAAGGACGTTGAGTCTCTAAGGGTCAACCTAAGCCACCTAGGGACAAACCTAGTCAGAAATTAACCCTGGCCGCCCCACCCCCATCTTGGACTAACTAACTCTTCTTTTCTGAACGTAACATTTACCTACTACAAAATTAAATCGCTTCTACCGTCTAAAGCAAAAGAGTTTTGTGGCTGAAGTCTCTCGAGTGAGTAGTGAGGTAGGGGGACAGGCTTAGCGCAGCCCATACATGAAGGCCCGAGAGCGAAGCAGCGGCACCATCAGCAGCGTGGAGTTACGGTTCTCCTCTTGTATTATTTATCGCTCTCCATAAGCTATTCATCAAACCATTATTTATTCATCCCAACGTTAAGGTAATTAAATATGAGCTCACCGGGAAAGGGCAGGTCTGGAAGGGACAGGGGAGATGGGGCGAGGGGGGGGGCGGGGGATTTAAAAGGTCTGTAATAATTGATTTGTACAGAGATGAGCCTGGTTCCCCTTAGCTGACACTTGAGAAGGGGCTCAAGTTGCAGGGTCCTGAAGTGTCTCCCACCCCCCGACCCCTGGGCCAGCGAGGAAGTCTCATTCTCGTGCCCCCCCATCTCTCTCTTACCCCTCCCTCTCCCTCCTTCTCTCTCTTCTTTCTTCTCTCTCCCTCCTCTTTTCTTCTTCCCCCTCTCTTCCTCCTCTTCCCTCCTCCTCCTCGTTCTCCACTTCCTCCTCCTCCCCTTCTCCTTTCCTACCCCCCACTCCCGGCCTCTCTCTCCCTGCAGAGGAGGCTCGGCCTCCCAGCACCCCTGCCTTGCCTGGCCTAACTCTGAGGCTGGCTAGATTGGGATAGGCGCCACAGGCAGCCAATCAGCGCGCCCTGTCCGCTCCGCGCTTTAAGGCTGGTTGCAGGGAGAACAGAAACCAAGTTCCCCAGCAACAATCAGCATCCACCCGGAGAGAGCCCGGGGAGGCTGCTCCGCGCCGGCGGCTCAGTGCCCGGCGCTCCCACCCATCCACCCCACCTTCTCTCCCTCCTCCTCCTTTTCCTTCTCCTTGCCCATCCTTTTTCCTATCCGCTCAAAACTCCTCAGCTGAGCTCCCCCTACACCCCATCGTCTGCAACTGAGAAAGAAAGAGGACTACTAGAAGAGGGAGGGGGTCGGAAGCCTCCCCTCCACCCCCTATCTCTAGCTCTGGTAGCGCCCCCCCCCCATTTTCCGTCTCGCTCTCCACTGTGCCCCAGGTTGTTCTCTCGGGCCAAGCGCCAGCCATGTCTATGCTGCCGTCTTTTGGCTTCACCCAGGAGCAAGTGGCCTGCGTTTGCGAGGTTCTCCAGCAAGGGGGGAATCTGGAGCGATTGGGGAGGTTTCTCTGGTCCCTTCCTGCCTGCGACCATCTGCACAAGAACGAGAGCGTCCTCAAGGCCAAGGCCGTGGTCGCCTTCCACCGGGGCAATTTCCGTGAGCTCTACAAGATTTTGGAGAGCCACCAGTTCTCTCCTCACAACCATCCGAAACTGCAACAGCTGTGGCTGAAGGCTCACTACGTGGAAGCAGAGAAACTGCGGGGCAGACCCCTCGGGGCAGTGGGGAAGTACCGGGTCCGCCGAAAATTCCCTCTGCCGAGGACCATCTGGGACGGGGAAGAGACGAGCTATTGCTTCAAAGAAAAGTCTCGAGGTGTGCTGCGGGAGTGGTACGCACACAACCCTTATCCCTCACCCCGGGAGAAGCGTGAGCTTGCTGAGGCTACTGGGCTGACCACCACCCAGGTCAGCAACTGGTTTAAAAACCGGAGGCAAAGGGACAGAGCGGCGGAAGCCAAGGAAAGGTACACAGGGCGTTTCTCTTTGCTCTCCTAACCCTTCTGCCCTCTGCAACCCCCCTACCCCTACCCTTACACCCTGATCTCCTTTTGTCAGAGCATTGCTGTCAAGAACCGTATTCTCCGAGCTGAGATAGAAAAAAAAAGTTCATGAACTTGGGTTCAGCCTGCTGGGCAGTCAAGAAGGAGAGAGACTAATTTTAGTTGTTTTTCCTCTGCAAGGTTGTGTTCAGTGGGTGTGAGTCTCAGGAATTATTTGCGGCCAGTTTGTTTCTCTCACCCCTGACCCACTCTCCTCTCACCCCCTTGCGAATGAGTGGCTGGAGTGTGTCTGGGGGAGGAAGAAGACTCGAGAAGGGAAGAGAAGGGAAATGAAGGGAAAGGACGGGAAGAAAGGAGAGAGAAAAAGGAGGGGAGTGTTTTTTTTTCCAGGATCAGTAATAAGGACAAAGCCAGAGATTTGGAAGGAGGGGGTGTCTTACTGAGTGGCAGGGATCCCTGGTACCACCTTTTCCTCTTCCCTTCCTTGTTGAGTGGGGCTGACTTTTTGGGTCCCTATGTCTTCACTTTCACAAATCCCATTAAGACTATCTTCTTCAGTGTCCAGTAAGTTCTTTGGGGGAAAGGTCGGGCGGTTTCACATCACACTTGTAAATTTTTAGCTGTAGGAGGGTGGAGCTTTAAAACAAAATCCAGAGAGCGTTATGTGGAAAGTCGGAGCCGACTTTATTGACTGTAATCACAACCCCTGAAACAAAGCTGCATCCTTCCTTGCGCACTTCCCCAGCCAGGGAAGCTGTGCATATTGTCAGCACCGCCAGCCGGAGACTCCAAGCTCAACAGCCCCACTCTTTGCTTACCCCAGAGATCAGAAACGGGTTTTTTATGGTGTTCCCCCAACTGCCCCCAGCCAACAGCCCCCACCCGCTGACCTCCTCCCTTCAACCATGCTTTTTGGAGTTTCGAGCTAAGATTCAGAACTGAGAGGCAGCCAGAATAACTCCGGTCAGGAGCAGAGAGTTTAGTGAGCCTTCAGGATTTTTTAGGAAACCAGAACACTCCGGCTGGTTACTTTTCTTTTGTTCACTTCCCTATCTTGGTACCAATACTCTACCTATTTGTTTTGATCCAGGATAAAAGAGTCGAAGCAATATAAGTTCAGTTGGAAGAGGTCAGCAGGACGGGAAGAAGAAGGAAAGGAACGAACGAGAAAGGGAGGAAATAAAGTGTGGGGGGTACTTCAGAAAGGCGGAAGTGAGAGGAAGCAGTGAAATAGTGAGCTTAAATAGGACTTGGGACAGGTCCACCCATCGCACTCCGCAGGCACACAGGTTTTGAATCTTAGTGAGGACTTCTTGATATGACCTCTCTGGCTTTTGTGAGGGCTGAGGGAGGAGGAGGGATTGGGAATTTTCGAGTGGGGCGTGAGGGAGATGGCATGGGGACAAAAACTGCGATTCCAGTTAGGCTGAAGTTACAAAATCCTCTAAGTCAGGCCTCGGGGCCCACTCCCTGATGAAATCAGCAATACTGGCTTGGGGCCCTGTGTTTACTCAGGTCACTGCATTGCCTTGGGCACTACTTCCCCATGACCTGTCCCTTTTAATGACAATCGCCAGACAGAAATATTAAAAGTAGATATTTAGTAATATATATCTCTCTTCTACACTATGGAAAATGGGTATCTGACTTGAGCAACAAATCTTTCTTGGGTTATAGGTTTTCTATTTTTCCCCCTTCTAACTTTGAAGGGTTGACTAGAATTGTTTAGGTTAAGCATTATTCAACTGTGGTACTAGTGAGTGTTTATTTCAGAAGATCAGTCTGTGATAGAATTTTTAAAAAGTTTTTTTAAACTCCACAAATATTTTCCTTTTGAAATCTGCAAGATTTGGGAAGCAAGGGCTATAGGGCCTTGTAGGGGACACTCTTCTTACATCTCTGACTTCACTATGTTCCTTTTGTTTCTTTCATGACTTCTGATAAGGGATGGGTGAAGGAAGATTCCCTTTGTGCAATTATTGTTTTACTTTTTCATATTCTCTTTCTTCATTCCCTTCCATTCCCTTCCTTCTTCTTGTTCCTTTACTCTTTTTCAGTATTTTCCTTTCTCCATCTTTCAACCTAACCATATGCTGTTGTTTTCTATTTCTCAGGGAGAACACTGAAAACAATAACACATCCTCCAACAAGCAGAATCAGCTCTCTCCCCTGGATGGGGGCAAGCCACTCATGTCCAGCTCAGAAGAGGAATTCTCACCTCCCCAAAGTCCAGATCAGAACTCGGTCCTCCTACTCCAAGGCAACCTGAGCCATGCCAGAAGCTCAAACTATTCGTTGACCGGCTTAACTGCCTCTCAGACAGCCCACAGCCTCCAGGGGCACCAACATCAGCTCCAGGACTCCCTGCTTGGACCCCTCACGTCTAGCCTGGTGGACTTGGGATCCTAAAGCAAAAGCACTTCTGGCCCATGGAGAACTAGTTGAAGCATCCACTGATCAGCAGCTAGAAACATTTGTAAATATAGAACAGGAACAATTTTGCAGCGCATATCTGGGGAACTTTCTGCATCAAGGAAACATGGACTTTCACAAAATGCCCTTTTAGAAACGGTAACAGAAACAACCCTGCTCTCAAGAAATGATCTCTCCTCCCCAATCCTTAATTACTTTTACCTTTACCCCCTTCTCCCTAAGTGCCGGTGCAAGCCCCCAAACTAACAAAACTTCAATGACCTACCAGTCTATGCTACTGATTCCATCACCTTAAATTAAGTTTAAAAAAAACACACAGGAATTACAAACTAGTTGGATTTCAATTCTTTTAATTTATTTATGATTCATTTTTAAAGGAGAGAGGAAAAAGAGAAGTCTGATGCAAACAAGAGTTTCTACCATTGGGGAAATTTGGTTGAATTCTTAAGCTGAATAGGGGAAAAATACTCAAAACCTTTTTTTTTGAGGGAGGAAATTAAGTTTACATTTTTCATATCTAGTGTTAAATGATTTCAATTTAGTTTAAAATAAAAAAGTATTAGAAAATCAAGTGCCTAAATGTCTTAATGCACATATATAAGGCAGTTAGAAATAGAAAGTGACCATGGCATTTTTGTTGGACTTTTAAGGATTTTTGAGGGGGGAGGTTATTGATTTTCTTTTTTTTCTTTCTTTTTTTTGATGGACTTTTGAAATGCATCAATGTGAAGTATCACAGTTTCCTGGATGTTTCTTCTTATGCCCTCAATGCTTTCATATCCAGTAGTATACTCTTGCTAAGTGTTTCTCCTATTCCTAGTTTTTAGCTCGCAAAAGTATTCCCATAAATCTGGTGACCTGGTATTTGTTACCCAAGATGGCATGTGTTTTTCAGGGTTCTTTTCTATTGTACCTAAAGCAGCCTAAATTAAAACGTAGCAGAGCATTAGGAGTATGGTTCTCTTTTTCAAAGGTGAGTTTCTGTGTTGCTGTCATCCTAATTTTAAACATACAATTTTTGCCTTTTTTACTCCTGATTGTTTGGATTGTAGAGCACTTTGAAGGTCATTATCTGAAGCAGTTGTAGGATCTGGTTTTGTCATATGACAGGAAAAGCGTAAACATAGCTTTTTAGATAGTCTTTTTAAAATATTTGGAAGTAATGCTTCTGGAGTGCTCTTCTTGAGAATGTTCGTGTGTTAATGAAGCCACTCTTTGTCAACAGACGTGTTGACAAGACGGATAATAACAAAATTTATCAGACAAAATTAGGAAATCAATCAGTATGAGCAACATTGTGAATCTATCTATTGGGAATGGTATGCAAGCTGATTGAACAGAAATCTCTGTGCACTTGCTATAAGACTATGCTTTGAAAAATACCAGTAATTTCATAGGCTCTTGTTTATTTTTATTTGGGGGAAAGGTGACATAGCCTTTATACTAAGCTTTAAATTTTAGCGAGTGGCATTATTTATTAAAATTATTCTCAATATTACTGTATTGGCTGGTTCTTGATTTGTAAAATATTGTTCCCAAGGACAGCCTATTTGTTCTCTGACCAGAGTTTCAAAATCTTGATCCCCCCCTCCTTCCATAACCAGCTCCATTTACATATTCATTTAGTATGTTGACTTTCTCCTCGCCTTTGGGGTTAATCCAAGGGAGTAACAGCATGGTGAACGAAGGCAATACTGGATTTGTAGTCTGAGAACCTGCGTTCAACTCCAGGCTCTGCCGTTCTCTTAACTGTGTGGTTTGGGGCACCTGGCTTAACCTCTCTGTCTTTCATCTCTAAAATGAAGGGATGGAAGTAGATGAACTTTAAGATTCAGTTCAGCTCTAAATCTCTAATCCTATGAATTTGGGGAAATGGAAAATGAAAGCTTTTTATTTTAACTAGGTCTTTGGAAGCTGAAAATGATTTATTGGTAGTTGAGGAAAAGGGTCTTAATTGTTTCATGTTATTATAGTAACTTTTATCTATGAAATAATTTCTCTGTCACAGACCCATAATTTGTTCAGAGAGGTTCATTTGGGTCGGAAGCTCCTGGTCCCAATATCCCTTGTTAGCGTTTTGGATCATTAAGTTACTGTTTATTTAAGTCACTAGGGTGTTTATTCTCCAGGTCTTGGGCCACGGAGAAATGCCACCCTCCGCAGGAGGGACTCTCACAAGGGGATCTCCGTACATTCTTTACATTCACCCCCCAAAACAAATACCCAGCACAAAGATAGCTTTAAATGACCCAGACCAACTTCAAAGAAGACCGCGGAAATCTCTCTCAAAAATAAGGAAATGCTAATTACTTTAATTTTTTACATGCCCCTTCCTCCCCCTCTCTTCTACTTCCTCTACTTTCTTTCAGCTTAGCTCGGTATAATTTTAGTAGCGGAGATGCTCCCTGTGACTTCTTGACAAACGGAGGAAGGTTAAATTCTCGTCTTCTGCTCCCTCAGTTGGTGAGTCTTGGAAATGCCAGGCAATTTGCAGAGCCCTGGTACTGTAAAAAGGCCCCGTGATTACTGCTTGTAAAGTCGTTAAAAGAGCAATTTTCTGTCACAGCCATAAACTCTCTGTAAAAATCCCTGGCTCTCGGGTGCAGCGCAAGTATATTCCAGATGTGTTTAAAAAGAAGTTGCACAATCCCTCCCTCCTCCGCCTGGTGACAGGATGGGAAAGAAGGTGAGAATACTGGAGATGGCTTTTGTTTTCTCCTCAATCGTTCCCAAGAGCTCAGTCCCATTAGACGAAGCGCTTTTTTCTACAAGAGAACATTGGGGAAGGGAACCCTTAAAGACTTCGAGGGGTGATTACACTCTCTTTTTCACTGTGCCTGACTGCAACTCCTTTCAAATTCCCTTTCTATTCCATTTACAGACTTAATGATGACGGTTAAATTAATGAACAAAGGCTCATCATTAATAACGTATTCTTAGGGGAGAAAGTACCTTAGAGGCTCTGCTAAACAAAATAAGAAACAAGGGAGAAAAGGGGGAAAAAACTTGGCCATTTTCCGGAAGTTTTAAGTAATATCTAGCTCTCTGAACTCTTTGTCTTTAACCTTTGATTTAGAACTGTTTCTGATGTTAAGGAGAAGGGGATATTACAGACATTTTCTCAATATCCAGTGGATGTGTCTGAGGTAACGTGGGTCCAGCCACATCACCCCTGCTCAGGGTGGTGAGAATTCTGAGGAGCTGAGCACCACTTGCTTTGAGGGTAGTCTCCTCAAAGGGATCCTTTCAGTTTGTTTTTAATTTTGAGTCAGAAGAAAAAAACATCTAGTGGCTGTACCGAAGCGCTTAGGTATGAGGAATCCTACGAAAAAGAAATCCATAGCTAGACCCTTTCCCAAGGCTCCAGAAATTGGAGAGAGGAGCGGATGTGCTACTAGAAGCAGGCGAGCAAGCGCTTGACTTAGTCCGGTGCGCCTTGGGACTGGAGTGAAAAGGGGGCAGATCGCGATGACCTTCTCAAGCTCAATGCGGTGGAGTTCACTCCTACTAGTTTTTACTTCCCGGCTATGGGATCTTTGGTTCTGCCTGTGGCCTCCGACTAGAGAGGCTGAGGTTACTGATGTATATCAACACGTTTAAGGATGTGTCAGGCCGGCAGGTCTCTGTACTTCCACGGCTCCTCCAAAGAGTCCAGCGCCAAGGAGGCCCTGGACTAGGTGATGCGGCTGAGTAAATCGAGCTGCCTTAAGTCCCTCTAACCCAACTCAGTCTTGCCTTCGGAATTGCGGGGAAAGGAGCTGGGGAATATCTGGAGCACTGTGGCACCCCAACTCCTGATTTTCCGTGTCCCTCGTCTACCCCGATGTCCCCAACGGGCTTTTTGAAGCTGGGAGTGGAGGCCGACTTCGACACACCATAAACAACCAGCTGCCCTGAAAAAGCCTTGGAAATCATTGTTTAGGATGGGAAACTGTGACCAAAGCCATTCTGTGTTCGTGGTTCCCCTTCTCAGGTGATCAGCCTGGCTGCAGTATGGAGGTGGGGTTGGGTTCTTCCAGATGCCTTCAGCATCCACAGTTTAGGGCTAATGGAGAAAACCTCTTGTCCCCTCCGTCGTGGCCGGGTGCTGGAAGACCGTGGCCGGATGGGAGATTTATAGCGATTACACCTTCTTTCCCTGAGGGCAAGCAGGCTTCTCCGCTGGAAAACGCTTCCCCGGGTGCCAGCCCGGCTCCGCCGAGTTTACAGGAGGCCAACTGACGCACAGAGTTCTGGGTGAGAGCAGGAGACAACCACATTTTCTCTGGGGGAGCCTCTGCATTTAGTTCCCTGCCACCCACCTTCATTAGTTCTAATAACTTCCTGGAGACTGTTTCTTTGTAACTACGACTCCCCTCAGAACCACATTGCTGACAGGCGGGGAAGAACTGCAAGGTGATTAAGCTGTGGTCCTTTGTGCCTGACAAAAGGGTCATAGAAGGTTCACTTTAATGGGAAAGAGTTTATGTGGCCTAATCTAGCACCGAAGGCGCCCTCGGCAGCCTAAAGAAGACCCTGGAAAACTCATTCTGGCCTCGGGAATGGCTACATTCTCTAGGCCTGTCTAGGACCAGAGGCTCCAGTCTTTAACTGAGGCCCTAAGGGGAGATGGGGACCTCTTGGATGGTGTGTTGAGCCTGGCTACTGCTGAACTCAGTGTATCAGAACCCAGAAAAAAAGTCTGCACCTCCCTATTCACATGTTAACAAAACAAGACGCTTTGCATCTTTGCTGTCCGTAGTTGACCCGGCTGTTCGGGGGTTGCAGTCTGAAGGGTGTGTGTGTGTGTGTGTGTGTGTGTGTGTGTGTGTGTGTGTGTGTGTGTGTGTGTGTGTAGGACCGCCTTCATTTTCTCCCCAGCCTAGCTGATCTTTTCCAATCCCGGGGTAAACTACAGTGGCAATTTGCCCACTCCAGAGTCTGTCACATGGGATAAAGGATCTTTACTTTTTCTTTAAAATAATACAAAAACAAAAACTGAAGCTAGTAAGAGCTGAGGTTCCTTCTTGGGCCGGGTGAACCCTTCTTGTTGGTGCCCCTTGGATTCCCAGCCCCCAGGAGGTATAGATAGATTCACAGCTGCTCAAAATCCTTACCCGAGGCCACTCAAGGGCTCGGTATAAATTCCCGGCTTCTGATTGGGACCGAGAACTTGACCAATATTGAAAAGAAAGAGTGGCCTCCATATAGGAATATTTGCTAGTGTAAGCAGTTGTCCAGGTGGGAAGCAGCAAAACAAAGCCAATATAAGGGCAAATTGCAGAACAAATTTTTATCCAGGAAAGTATTACTCTGAAAAGGCTAATTTTTTCCCCTAATATTTTAAAACAGCACACACACTTCAGTCCAGCTGATGAAATAAGAAACCTGTTCCCCTACTGAGGATGACGTTCAGTGTTTTCGAGGCTCTGGTCCTTCCAGACAGCGAGAAACAACACTGCAGTAGCATTTAAAAACAAAGGAAACGACTCAGAGAGGCGAGTGAACTGCCCTTCGCATCAGGGTTTTAACTTCCCTCTTTTTAACTTGCTAGCGGAAAACTGAGAAGAGAGTTCCCAGCAGGTAGATTAGAACTACCTGAAGATTTATTCTCGACTTTTGTTTTGCTACTTGAGTGTCTCTTACTTTTTTCTTTCCCCTGAAATTGGTCAGTGCCGAGGTTTTCACTTTTGCTGAAAAGGTTAAACATTGTCAGAACGTGTCCTCTTTTGTATCATTAACTAGATTATTGGGTTGGGGGGAGACGCCTCCACAACCGAATTATGTTCTGAGAAAGGAAAAGTTTAGATTTAAATATTGAAATATATTTGAATAAACTACTGAGCTGCAACTGGATTAAATTAAATGGTACTGGCTTATCCCCCCCACCCCCTCCTTCCCCCAGGAGTCTTCATTAAAAAAAAAAGAAAATTAAACTACCCACCTCTTTTCCAAGTATAAATGGAGAAGTAAAAATGAAGTATTTTCTCCCTTTCTGGTTGGTCCCACCCCAACCTCAACAATATGGAAAATATATTTTTACCCTCTAGAGACAGGCATATCCAAAATGGAGCACAATGGATTTAGAAAGTTGGATTTTAATTTTCAGATTAAATTATTTTAATCCAGGATTTTAAAATTAATCATTGCTTTGAAAATTCCATGGTCTCTTCTTAGCTGAAGATATTTTGCTCAAGGAATTTGCAAGAGTGGATAACTACAGGTTATGTATGGAGCCCCTTAAAATAAATTTTTTTAAAAATTGTCATAGACTATGTTTTCTTATAACGATTGATTTCTACTGGGCCTAGTAAACAAAAACACCTTAAAATTCTGGGGGAAGGTCTGAAAGGAGAGCATCACTAGAAGAAAATGGTCTTTGTGCCAGTCTGCTACAACCTTAACTGTACCCATTTCTTTATGTTGTCTATCGTGTTTCTACTTGCAAAAACACTTTGCCTTTCCTTTCATTTTTTTGTTTAAGGTATCCACATATTTCAGGTATGTTGAAAAGGATCTATTCTAAGTAGGATTGACAATTGTAGTAAATATTCTAAACATCAGGGAAAGCAATAAATTGATTCAGGGAAAAGAAAATAGTTTTCAGCCAACAATACACCTTTGGTCATACTCATCCAAAACCATCTGTATGTCCTAATTTTCCCACTTAACTCTTGGAACTTAAAAAAGGGAGAAACTTTCAATGTTATCAAAATACAAACTTTCAGTCTGAGGCTAACGAATCTGTTTACAATCCAGAGAAACATTTGTGTGTCTGTGAACCATGGAAGTAGTACATTGAAGACAGCATTAAGATTGTATTCACATAGGATACACAGGACAGCACACAGATAGGAAATGGATGACAAGCAGGTCGAATGAAAATTAGGTTGTTTAGAAAAGCCAATATGCTTTAGTATCTATGTAATGAAAGGGACATTTAAACAAGAGAGCTCTTGCCTCTGTCTATAGATATACGCCATGAATACTTTCTATGCATTACAGATGTTATATAAACATAATATACTTCTTCCTGAAGTCAAGTTCTTGATTTTAATTGAAGAATAATATTGCTTAGGGCTCTAAAAAAATCCATTCTGCAAATCTGTAACCAGTAACTATTTTCAAAATAAACAGATGGATTTTTCATAAAGAAGTCAAAGAAGATTACTTTATACATAGTATCTCTTGATTTCTGCTCACAAGAAAACCTTTATGGAAAAACTAAAATGCAAAATATGACAATAGTAGTCCCTCTTCATTCTTTAAAAAACAAAAAACAATACAGAGTGATTTGACTCCCAAGCAACTGTGGTTAACTGTTTGTTTCCCAACATCATCCATAGAAATAAACCTGCCATTTGCTTCTCTTCTCTTCCTTCCTTCCTTCCTTCCTTCCTTCCTTCCTTCCTTCCTTCCTTCCTTCCTTCCTTCCTTCCTTTCTTCTTTTCTTTCTTTCTTTCTATTGGAAAATCCAAAATTGGAAAATTGGAAAATCAAACTATAAGCAAGGCCCAGTTTTTAATTAGTTTTATAAAGATTATTTAAGCAACCTTGAACAAATATACAAAACTCATTTATAGAACTTTCTGTTTTCAGAAAAAAAAATCACCTCTGAGTTAATTTTGAATTGGAACATTAAAGCAGATTTCATGATGTTTCTAATTCCCTTGACCAAACCCCAATTTCACTAAGGAGGGCTCTTTTAACCCCAACCCCTAGATTTTGATTACTGTTCTCTTATTGGCTAAACAATTTGCATGAATACCTAGGAAATAGTGTTAGAGCCTGTCTCATCTCTGGGACCTTGTCTGACCCTAACTGGTGTGAACCACTGCAGTGGTTCCAGTCTGTAGGCTAAAAAGTAAAATTCAATAATAGGATAATAGGACCATAGCTATGAAGTTAGAATGGTCCTTAGAGGTCATCTTGTCCAATTATTTTACAGATGAAGAAACTGAGGCTAAGAGAGAAAAGGTTACACAAATAAAAATGCCAAAGGTGAGATTTGAACCTGGGTCCTCTGACTCAAAATCTAGGGCTTTTAACACTGTTCTTTCCTACTTTGCTTGGATAATTTTGTCTGTAATGGATGTAAGGCTTTTAATTTAATTAATTATTTTTTGCGGGGCGGGGGTGGGTGGGTAGGGGGTAGGGTGTGGGGGGGGGGGGAGAGAAAAAGGCTCGATTTTAGTTCTCCTTGGAGGAAAGAAAGAGTTAATTTGTTTTCTGACAGGTTTCAGGCTGTGTGCAGGTCAGCCAAAAAAGGAGAGGAAAAGGAGAACAGCCCTGTGATTAATTCTACCTGTTTTTCCCATGAGCGATCACCTGCTCCAGGGGTCATGAATAGCAGGTAGCTCTCCCCTCCCGGGCTCTGAGAGGTTCGTTTGTTTGGTGACAGCTGAGTGACAAGGCCTGAAACTCGAGCCGGCCGCCCAGCCTGATGTGGGGATAAAAACCCTGGATGTCCCCTCAAACATTTCAGGAAATGAAAGTTGTAATGCGATCCCTCCTGCGCCCACATCTCCCCCGGCCAACACAAAAGCTCAAAGGAGCCTTCTCGCATTGAATTCAGTCTGAAGTTAGTGGATGGAGGGAAATGGAGCCCAACCCAGAGGGAGGGAGAGAAGGAGGGAGGGACAGCAGACAAGCAGAGAGTCTGGGGCTGGCAGATGGAAGCAGGAGAAAGGGGCTGGTTCTCCCTGGCCCTCCCCACTGAGTTCTTTCTGCCTTCCCACCCCCCTACCCCGTCCCTCCTGAACCCTAGTTCACCGCAGACAGCGTGGGCTGCTAGTGCCACCTTGTTTGGTACTGTTTTGAGGGTCAGCCTGGGCTGCAATAAAGAAGCACTAACTCAGTCGACCCCTCTGCCAGTTTTGCAGCCCCAGATTAACTGCAGCTGGGTGCAGGTGCCCGGTGCTGCAAATTGCTCCCCAGTGCTAGGAGAGGGAGGCCTCTATTTTGGTTGGGGCAATGTAAAGTCAGGAATAGGGGGTTTTTGAGGGGGTGGAGGAGAAGGAGGAGTGTCTTTTGGTGGGATTAATGCAGTGACCTTGACCCTAGGCAGAAAGCAGAGCTGACCGCTGTACTCTGTCCAGGCCTTCTGATTGGTGGGCTAGAGGACCCCAGCCAAGATCTGTGGGTTGGGAGGATTTACTGTTCTGTCCCTATCTTACACTTCCGATGTTTGTTCCCTGTCCTTATGACCTTTTTCCAGGTTTGAGGATTCACCATCGATTGCTCCTCCCAGAATAAGTATTGTGAGGCAGAGCAGGAAGTGTCAAGGGAGTTCTGGGCGTAGGCCTGTCGCAGAGGTTAAGGAACCAAGTCCTGAGGGCTTACTCCATCAAGAACTTACATTTAGTTTCTGGTCTTTGGTCATTCTAAGATTCAGCTAAAGAAATGGAAGGGTATTATTAGCCAGAGGGAGGGGAAAAGCAGAATGAAGTTGTTGAAGTTTCTCCTAGGCTGCCATTATTCCTTCTTTAGAGCTAGTGTGGACCGATTTTCAACCATAGCAATGCGTGAAGACGTTCTATATCATCCTTGATCTCTCTCTCCAACATCGCCCATCAGTTCCTACATAGTGTAACTTCTTTCTCCACAATGTTTCTCCCATACAATCCCAACTCACACAGCTACCACACTAGACCCTCATCAACTCTCATTTGGACTTTTTCAATAGCCTTCTAATTGGATCCCCTGCCTCAATGTTCCCCCTCCAATCCATTCTGCACACAGTTGCCAAAGTGATGTTCCTCAAGTGAAGGTCTAATGCATCACTCCCTTACTAAGTAAAGTCTGATGGCTCCCTGATAACCCTAGGACTACTTTCGTTTAGCTTATAAAGCTCTTCACAACTTGACCCCTTCCCATCTTGCTGGGTCTTTAAGACTCTATTCCCCTCCATGAACTCTATGGCCCAGCCATACTGGCCTATTTGCTGTTCCTCAAACAAGACATTCCATCTCCCAATTCCATGTATTTTCGCTAGCTGTCTTCCACACCTGGAATCATCTCCCTCCTCACCTCTGAGGCTTCCCTCTGAGACTCAGATCAAATGGCATTTCCTACAGGAGGCTATTTCCTGAATGCTCAGGTACTAGGACCTTCCCCTCCAAGGCTTCCTTTCATTTATCTTCTACGTATTGATTTGTATACATGTTGTCTCCCTCATTAGAATGTAAGTCCCTTGAGGGCTGAGGCCATTCCAGCTTTTTCTTTGTATCCTCAGAGCTTAGCACAGTGCCTGGCATATAGGAAGCACTTAATGAATGAATGAATGTTGATTGATCCCAAGTAGAAAGTTTTTGTCCTTAATCAAGATATTGTCCATTAGAGTCAAGGAGTGGAGATGACATTGAGTTTCTGAAGACTCTGGAATGTAGTGCAAAGTCACTATAGCTAAATGTACAGAGGTTCAGCACCACTACGATGGCCAACAGATGATGAATTCTTTGCCCTGAGAGCCCTAGTTGACTACAAATAGCACTGCATTGCTCAATTCTTAGAGAGGCTTCCCTACCTCATTTTTTTTCTTTCCCATGAGTTCATAAAGTTATTCCGGACATTATTCTCATTAAAGCAAATCTCCCTGGTGAATAGGGAGCTAGAGAAGTAGTCATCCTGACTTACACATGGAAGACACTCAGAGAGACAACTAAGCCTTACTTAACAGGAGTTGGACGGTGTCTTGAGTTTGAGCAGGTTATGACCAACTCTCCAACTTTTTCCCCTTACCCCCTGGAAAAGTGCGAAAGTGCGGGTTATTCCATAGGCACCTGGTAAAGGTCTGATTATCCTCTGGGGATAGTCAACCTTGAAAAAGATTTAGTTGCAGATCTGGGACTATAATCCACATTGTTATAACTCTAGGGATTTAATTCTGGAATGGTGGATGAGCTCAACATGCTCATTTTGTAATCTCCTGTCTTCAAGCTAATTTGGTTACATCTTCCTCACCTGACTTATGTTAGAAATATATATATATATAGATGTATGTATGTACATATATCTATACATATAAACACGTTCTACTGCATATGTTGTATGGATAGGCTTAAAGGCAGAATAGTGTAACCGAGAGCATTACACCATGAATCAGAAGTTTAGAATTGAAGTCTTGACCTTGGTACTTACTAGCATGGTAGTGGAATGGTTAGACCACTGAGTTTGGAGATAAGAAACCTAGGTTTAAATTCTGACTTTACTACTTGTGTGAATACCTTGGCTA